TGGTACGACGTGCTCCATCGTAGACCGCATCGTCGCTTACCAATAGGCGAGATAGTGGTCAAACGTCGTCCTATCAAATATATAAAAAATTGAGTGAAAGATTTAGCGGTATTTAAACAATGTTGTCAATTGACAGTACATTGCGATCGTTGCAAATTGTATCGTATTTTGTTAGGCTTTAAGCTGATTTTGACATTATCCATTGTATTTTGGTACCTACATCTAATTCTTTGATAAAATGCATTGTTTAATACATCATTCTATCAAGTTTTATATAACAAAGCAGCCCTCCTTACATCAGACAGTCGTCGACCCCAGACTTGGACATGCAAAGATAAGCATGAAGTCTTTATTCAGCTGTCGATTATCAAATTGATCCCCTAAGGCTAACGCACTATCAAATCTCGATTACGAAACAACGAAAGTGAACTCTATTGTTCTTGACACAATGGATTAAATCCAATGACGTGTGTTTATTAAAGAAGGTAGCCTGTCTTAGATTAATTGTCTCAGTCGAAAGTTTGATTTGAGTGGATTGTCTATTGTTTTTTTTTTTAGTGAATGGGTTATGTAATTTTGATTATTATTTTGGTTTTTGTATTGCTTTAGTCCTGGTTTTGATTACGTCGTAAAAAATAAAGGCATGTTTAGTACAATCTGTCTTAAAAAGTGTCATTGACTTCAAAATCCTCTCAATAGTTTTAAGTTAAAAGCATAGATTTTACTTGGTCGTATCTTAATTTGTTTCAAGTTGGCACAATAATACCTTTTTACCAAGCTCTCCAAAATTAAAAAAAAACTAAGATAGCTAGATAACTTTAGGTACATCATTTTTTATCATACCAAAGTCACATCTAATACAAGTAAGGTGGTAATGTAGGTGCTAAGACATGTTAACTCGTCGAGTACCGTTATTATAGACACAATTATAGAACAATAGGTTGCGGTCACCGGTGACCGCTTGGTGTTTGACAGTTTGAATAGATAAGTGACTTTTAGTTAAGATATAGTTTAGGGGTAGTTGGTGGAAACAGTTATGTCTACTCTTTCTATTCTCCATCCAATTACAAACATCTTTTGTTTCTATCTAAATCTATCTTTCTTACGCCCGCATTCTGAAAGGCTACTCGGTTTTAAATTGTAGTGACAGAACTTTATTAAGCGACTTAAATTTGAATGGCGTTATTAAAACCTTGTTTAATAATACCTACGTTCATTATTTTAGGTCCAGCATGACCTAAAACCGATACCATAACATTAACCCCTCGATGAGCATAAAAAAAAAATGCACCGGTGGATCATAAGAAAAAATGCTCCATGCTGCTTTCTCTTTTATAAAATCTATTATTAATGTTTTGTTTTTATTTTGACTGTATTTTTTATTTCTATTGTAATTGATCCTTGTTTTCGTGTGCCAATGGCCAAATAAATGCATTTTCTCGCTCGACGGGTTAATTACACGGGATGAAAAGCCACTAATCCAGAGCATGGAGTATTGGTCACTAAATCATCTAATGATTTCTCCCGCCCGGGTGCGAGGCGAGAGAGAGCGTCAAACTCTTATTAGACACTAGAGTACCTAATTACGTAATTCTGAACCTTATAAACTTTGGTATTAAAGCAGATTTTGAAAGGTTATTACTAAGATAGCAATGATGTCATCCGATATCTAAATGACTATTTATAACACATGCACGCTATAAAAATAAATAATATGTAAATTATGTCTTAATAAAAATGCAACATGCATAGTTTCTTTCACGATTTTATTTTAATAATATTTTAGTATTATTATGTCGATACTCAGACTAGAAGTCTAGACGAAACTGCAAGATTATTTTTATTTATAATAAAGTTTGTGTCTAGATAAATGCATAATACTGTAAGATCAGATTTCTGTTTTCTTTGCATTCAATATTCTTGAATCTGATTATGATAAGATCGCCCTACATCTGCCATTTGGTTTGTTTATCTTGTCTTATTGACGATAAACTGATAGAAAGTACTATTTTCTAAACTAATGACTTGATGTATGTAGGTGGTGCATTAGAGTTATTGCTGACGATGTCAGACTGCAGTCAAGTTTTCTATTAGACATTTATTTATTTAAAATTTGGAAAACCAAGAGCTATACAAATTGATTAAAACATGATGAGTGATATACAACAAAGAGCCAATTAGGTACTGGTTTTCACGACTACCAACAGAGATTAACTTACATGGTGTAGTAATGTAAAAATAATACTGCTTTAGTATATAATGCCATTGGAAAGGCGTACCTATGTCCAGTAGTGAATAAATACGGGCCTATTATCGCGTCTTACTTGGATCCTGTTGCCTGCCTAATTATAACTAGATTAAATCATTTTACGCTATATCTATCGTAAGCATATCGAATCTCAATAAGAATAATTTAATAGAACAATAGTATTAACCGTAGTATTAGTAACCCTATGGTTAGCTTATATAGATACCGTTTGTTAAGCTGCATACAATGTCATTACAGGTTATTCATGTGATCATTAAGTAATACGAATTCTTTAACATTTTAAGGAATGTAACTACAGCTGTTGATCTGCACTTAAATTCCAATTCAAGTAATTAACCTACTTAATCAAAAGGAAGTATTGTAAAATCCAATGAATGAAAACCAGCATAAGCAGTAGCCACCTGAAGTTTATACCTAATAACTGTTTACGATTCACTAAACCTACATTTCAATTTAACATCCGCACTTCAATTTCCACGTTTATATCGATCATAAATCGATCTACGCTTGATCGATTGCCTTTCTTCTAGGAAGTCCGGCACCAGCTGATACGATTCGATTCGATCTGATTCGATTCTCGATATATGATCGTGATTCGTTAGCGGAGACCATACTTGTGCGTATGTCACCATGTCAATTATGGTATCGATATAAGATTTCTTGGATTGTAAAACTGAGGATGGGGTTTTAAGTTTTATTTGTTAGTTTAAAATCAAAACCCTTGTGTGTAGAAGTGTGTCTTTTGATCAGAAGTTCTCTTTTTTTATTCACAAATTACAATGTTTAGATTCCAAATTGAACAGCAATTTTATTTATACGCGGTGGGTCGCCGTTTGGCCACTATCTCGCCTAGCGGTAAGCAATGATGCGGCCTACGACGGACCACGCTTTATTCCCTCGAACCTAGCAATCTAGCGAATGGGAAAATGTAAATAGTATCCTTTTCTGTTACGATCACAATGTAAGAACTATTACGCCTAACTCTTTGTCTATAAAAAAATGATATTTTATAAGACTCATTCCTTTTTTACATAGGACTGTGATCTACCTCTTCCTCTGTCGGTGAAATGAATCTTACACTAGGACACATTTAAATCTATGTCTATTTATGCAACGCCAATGCAAATAAGGTAAATATGAAAAGCTGATATGCAAATGTATGGTGATTATCATATCTACATCAGAAAGTGCAGTAGCTAATATAATATTAAATCTTTTACTATCACTTTGACGATATTTTCTAATTTTAGCATATTTATTTACTTATCTGATAAAAGGAAGTTAATGACCAATATCCTTTTTGTTTAACATTTTAATAAGTCGTGCTTAAGAAGTAAGGACAAAGTCAGTGAAATAAACTTTCAGCTTCAAATTAATAATATATTTATATTATTTATGCCTAATCCTGTTTGAGTTCTACTTTCATTATTTTATTAAATGACTAGCTTCTGCCAGTGATTTCGCCTACGTTCCCGTGGGATGTGACGAACTCATGTGTTATTCCGGACCTTAATGTAACCCTGTTCCAAATTTCATCTCGATCCCTTCAGCCGTTTTGACGAGATTGAGTAATTACTTAATGCCCGAACACTGAAACGTTACTCAATTTTAAGTCGCGCTTAAGCATAGTTCTGTCTCTACAAATTCTTTATAAAATGACAGAGACAGCATGATATTTAAGCACGTCTTAAAATTGAGTAACGTTTCAGTATTCCAGCATTAGTCACGAAATTTCGTCAGTCAGCTGACTATGGGACTTGATCATTTGTGTATAATTTTAAAATTTCGAAAGATCAATTTAAATTTAAAAACGACTTACGTTAATGTAAAAATAAAACATAAATAGAAAATCACAATAATATTCAGGATAAATATTAAATCTCATATCTATATTAAATGTCAAGCGTTAATATACTCTTCCTTCTTACTATTCGAAGTAGGCCATATCAAGTCCGAACCAATATCTATAAAAGGGGACATTTGAAATTGTAATCGAGGACTGCACATGTTTTATAATCCATATAAGGAAGTTATACATAAACTGCATTATTGGACCAAATATCGACGAATATTTAACTATATCGAGTTAGGCTAATGGACTATCCAAAATTTACAATTCTACGTTTTTACGGACACTGCCAAATTCTAATCTTGTTTGGCCTTATTCGGGAGAGTTGGTTGTAGCATTTTGGTACTGGAATTAAAGGGTTCGGTTCATTAGGAATTTAAATTAAAGATGGCTTGAATTCCTTCTTATACATTTGGTATCTCCTTAATATGCTGTGCTTAGTATCCCTTTTAAATCGTAACCTAAATGATTGTATTGGTATCCTACTGACCTAAGTTTTCAATGAAAGTATAACTAGTCGGTTAAACTGTAGCCGTGATCGTTAGGATTACATTGTTGAATGAAAATTATCTACAACTGTGTCAAGGAACTAAACGGGTTTGATTTGATCCCTTTTCTAATCTCAATCTTTTTACGATTAATTTGATATTGTTCAGTGTAATTTAGACTTCTTTGTTGGTTTAGTCACCACTTTCAAATCCCTCTTTGAACACTTAAAATGTCAGTCACATTTTACACACATACACACACACAAACACACATACACAGACTCAAAGACTACAAATAATGCGGTGTGATTTCCATTTTCTATACGCATTCATTCTTCCTTTACCTCTTCCATTATAGAATTACTTCTCAATCTTCAAATGTTCTTGTCTACAGGAGGAGCTGGACTTGACAGCAGTGAACAAAGCCGCGATGATGGCGCTACCTGCAGCCAAGAAGTGGCAGATCTACTGCAGCCGGCGACCACCACCAGGACAGCCACCACCGCTCGCCACCGCGCCACAGCTTGAGGAGTACATCAAGGCTCTCAATGAGATTGCTGATGTGCGTATCAATCTTTATTTCTCCTAAAGTTTTGATGGTGGTGAAACAAAATTAAGTCTAGGCTCTAGAATAAAATCGGATACATGGAACGTAATTCCTCTTGGAAACCTCTTAGAACATTCTTATATTTCCTCTTTTTTGTGTCTTTGGTGGGCGTTGTACTATTTTGTGGAGGATTAAGCAACGAATGTTATGGATAAATGCCTTCAAAACAATGAGAATTGACATGGTACTCCTACAAAGGGCAAACCAGTAAAGAATGCCTGCTTAAGTTTTGGTCTCCTATCATATTCATTGGTACCAAAACAATAGCACATCAAAATCTAAACCCAAATTTGTATATTTCCAGGCCTTCGCCTCACAAGATGGAGTGCCACCAGCAGAAGCGTGTGCTCTGGTCGACGGCCTCAAAACAGCATTACGAACAAGAGCCCACAGTTTTGTACTCCGGTTCATCAAGCAAGGAGGTCTAGGTTCCCTGCTAGATGCCCTGCAGAAGGCACCTAGGGACGATGCCTTGACCAGGCATAATCTCATAGCGGCTATCAAAGCGCTCATGAATAACTCGGTAAGTGCTTATGTAGTTGGTTAATGTAGATTAGTGTAAAGAGGAGTATTATGGTGCAGCTGTGGTTGTAGAATTGACTCGTTGATCGGGAAAAGAGTAAAAATAGAAATGTGTGAATAAAAAATGTAGGAAATCACTTTTTGTAAAAGTTTTATGGTCGAAATACTTCAAGCAACAAAACCTGCCAGGGACTGATGCAGATATAACAGATAATTCTTAGGGAATGCTATAGTATACGCTACATATTACTCAATACAGTAAATTACATCAGATGACTTAAAAGAAAACATATTGAAAGTGCTTCAAGAGCTACTCTTTATTCTATCGCTATCTTCTTACCTGCTTTATACATTTATTGCAGACCGGGCGCGCGCATGTCCTGGCCCATCCCACGAGCATCGATCTGATCGCACAGTCCTTAGACACTGAGAATGTAAAGACCAAGGTCGCTGCACTTGAGATATTGGGGGCTGTCTGTCTTGTACCAGGAGGACATAAGAAGGTAGTGTATATATATTTCGGTTGTTTAGTATTTTGTAGTGGTTTTGGTAGCTGGATGTCGTTTGGGGATGAAGCAGCAAGTCAGTAGTAAGTCTTGTAAGTATGTACCTAAAATTAGAAGGTGTTTCTGTAAAATAAGTTGACCTTCTTTCTTAAACAAGGCTAAAAATACTGACCATGATAGTTAAAACAGAAGTTGTTATCTTCTGTGTCTTACCAGATCCTCTTCCAAAAATGGAGTCCCGTTATACCCCCTTTTGTACCTTACATCAACATAAATTTTAAGTATAAAATTCTGTTTTGTATCCAATATTCATAATAATGGGTACAATATGTCCTCTCACGTTGAACATATTACAAAATAAACGCTTACAAATCCTCTTGGAATCTCAAACCTCTTCCGAATTATCTTCAGGTGCTAGAAGCGATGGTCCATTACCAAAAATATGCTGGCGAACGGGCTCGGTTCCAAAGCATAATGAACGAGTTGGACAGAAGTACTGGAGCCTACCGCGATGACCTTGGTCTGAAGACTGCCATCATGTCCTTCGTGAACGCTGTCCTGAACTATGGACCTGGAGAGGAGAGTTTGGAGTTCAGGCTGCATCTTAGATACGAACTTCTTATGTTGGGGATACAACCAGGTCAGTTGGCTGATTCGTGAATGAGTTTCATCTATTAGCGTCTTATGATGCCATATTGCCTGATATTTGCTTTTCACTGATACATATTTTGGGTCAAAATTTCGAGATCGGCTGTATCTTTTACATTTTCTGCCATCATGGTTAAAATGTGATACTAATATATAAAATGTGGTTTCCGACATTAATGATTTAATTTTATTTGCTCTATTCAATTTCCAGTAATCGAAAAACTCCGTAAATACGAAAACGAGACTCTGGACCGTCACATCGAGTTCTTCGAGATGGTTCGGAACGAGGACGAGCGGGAGCTGGCGCGGCGGTTCGACAAGGAGCACGTGGACACGAAGAGTGCCACCTCCATGTTCGAGCTACTGAGGAGGAAGCTCAGCCACACTGCCGCGTATCCTCACCTACTATCTATGCTGGAACATCTGCTGTTGCTGCCTTGTGAGTTGATTCTGTTAATATTTTTTACTAGTTTATTGTTTTTAAAGTCTAAGGTGCCTTGTATGTAATTTGTAGAGTGAACGTTAAGATTTTATTCTCCTAATTCTATTTTGTTTTTAATGAATCAATCCATTCATTATTTGGCTGTCAATGCTACTATTGATACGTTTTAGATTAATCCAGAAAATGATAAACATTTCTAGACAATATTGTGGAACTTGTTTTTATAATAACTATCGTGAGACACAATAAATTAAGTAAAAACGCGGGTTACTCTCGTGAATATAATGAGAAAAGCTCTACTAGTTTCGAACCACAGAGGGGTTCTTCCTAATGAGCAGCGTGCGCGGCCTCGGCGACGTCGCGCAGCTCACTAAATTGTGGAACTTAGCAACGCAATTCGATTTATTGTCACATTACTATAACTTTTTTATCTAAACATTTAAATCGTCACATATTTCCTAACACTCATTAATAACCATCTCCGCCCCGTTCCCAGTGGAGTACAACCCTCAGTCGCAGCACTGGTTGCTGCTGGACCGCGTGGTGCAGCAGTTGGTCCTGCAGCAGCCCGCCGCCGGCAGCCGCGCCAACTCCGAGCAGGGCAGCGAGCGGGGCAGCACGTCTGATACCACTAAGGTAACGTTCATGGATGTGGTACATAAAGTAAAAGACTGCCTCGTTGGCCGAGTGGTTGCAAGTACGACTGCCGGGCATGGGGTCTCGGGTTCGATTCCCGGGTCTAGCAAAGTATTACTGCATTTAAAAAAACCCGTAGTAGCACAGAGTTTGGAATTGTGCCCGGTATATGGCAATAGGCTCACCGCCTATTACATGGGGCTCATTACATAAATAGTGAAAAGTGGGTGTTACATTGTACAGTGGTATTAAGTGCCGTAATGTGCACCTTAGCCTACCTCTTCGGGGATAACAAATATCCTTGTTAGTCAGGTCTCCAATTCAAGCCCTATTATGGTAATTTTTCTGTTACATTACACCTCTACTATCCCTTATGGGATAAAAGTATAACGTTATATAGGCGTGCTACAATGTATTGACATAATCATAATTAAAATGTAATTATTCCAGATCTACGACCCGGACGTAGCTCCGCTAGAGATCAACGTGGGTGAGATAGTGCATCTCCTAGCCAAGGAGGAGGAGCTGGTGGCCGCCAGGACGAAGGCAGAAAACTTGGAAAAGGAAAACGTTGATCTCGCCACCGAACTCGCTAAGAAGGTAGGGGATTTTGAACCTTATTGACTGAGATGTTGTTTGAAGATTTTGTTTATCATACTGTAGTGGAAGGTGTTTAGGAATTAATAGTCACTAGTCACTTCTTAGGCTTAAAAACTCTCTCTTGGCCAAAAATATTGTTGAGGCGTTCTAGGAATGTTATTAGTGAAAAAATTACATTTATTTGTGGTGACATTATAAATGACAAATGGAGACAAGTGAGAGAAGAGATAGAGAATCCTCTTGGGCGCTTTACAAGGAAAAGAGGTAATACTACTATATATGTTGCTGATACAGCGTTGTCCTATCGTGATTAGTTAATACTTCCAAAGCATGCCGATCATACGCGTCAATCATTCAGCAAATGAGGGTGGCCTTTGCACTAATTGACGGTTCCGCCTGCTGGTATTTAGCATCGCTTATTCCTCTTCAATAATGTATTTTGTAAGAGAAATATGTTTTTTTTCACGTTTATATTAACGTAGGTACTCTTTGAACATTGATGACTATCAGTATCATCGTCGTTAATTAGGTTTTAGGTTAGATAATACCTAAAAAAACTAAGAGTTATCGTATTTAATGGATACACGAATTGGTATGATAAACAATCTTCAAAAACACCTAGAAAAGCTTAAAAGGTAGCGGACATCAAACTCGCTATTCAAATAATAATATTTCATTACAGGCTAAATCATTTTCATTACAGTTCAACAACTGTTGCACATCACGGTACATTTTGATTCTTATACCGACAGAAAACGGTTTAAATTCCAAAGTTATCGTGATATGGGACAGTTAATAATAATGTTGTCACACACGTCATTATACAAAACTTATTGAGACAAGTGGTTGTATGTGCGGGGTGGTAACGCCTTCGATTAAATGGTTCGTGTTGCTGGTTCTGGAATGCTCATGTTTTTGAGGTGTTTTTATAAATTGTTCAGAAAGATTTTTAGCCTAAAAGGGGATGATGTCAGGTATTGTTTTTTCGCTTTTATCGAGTACAGTATAGTCTCAATCCAATCAGTGTAGCTGTCCCATATATCAATAGAGACATTCTTAATGAGGTTTTACTTACTTATATCTGATAAGCATTACGGTCTATTGAACCGAGTGGCAAATCCAATAGCTAAGTTTACCTGACACTATACCGAGGATATCCCGGACATCAGCCTATACGAGATTAAAATGGTCCTGAAGCAGCTTAAGAACATCAACGGACGGAATCACATCAGAGCTTCTGAAAGCGGGCGGAACGCCGTTACTGAGAGTCCTTCAGAAGCTCTTCAACTCCGTCATATTCGAAGGAGTAACGCCGGCGGCATGGGGCAGAGGTGCGGTGGTGCTGTTCTTCAAGAAAGGAGATAACACTTTACTGAAAAACTACAAACTCATCTCACTTCTGAGCCATGTCTACAAGCTGCATTCGAGGGTCATTACGAATCGTCTCACACGTAGGTTCGATGACTTCCAGCCTCCCGAACAAGTCGGTTTTCGGAAAGGCTATAGCACCATAGACCATATCCATACGCTGCGGCAAGTTATACAGAAGACCGAGGAGTATAACTTGCCGCTATGCATAGCGTTTGTGGACTATGAGTAGGCCTTTGATTCGATCGAGACTTGGGCAGTGTTAAGATCTCTCCAGCTTTGCCATATTGATTATCGGTACATCGAGGTTTTGAAGTGCTTAGTGTATACACAAACGCCACTATGCCGGTACAGGACCGGAACACGAGGGACATTCCTCTGCAGCGAGGTGTAAGGCAGGAGACGTCATATCTCCAAAACTGTTTACCGCTGCATTGGAAGACGCCTTCAAACTTTTGGAATGGAAAGGAATGCAACATAAAGCAAAATAAACGGCGAGTACATTACACACCTCCGGTTTGCCGACGACATTGTGGTCATGGCAGAATCGCTGGAGAATCTGAGCGCAATGTTCGATGACCTTTGTAGAGTTTCTCAACAGGTAGGGTTCCAAATGAACATGGACAAGACGAAAATCATGGCGAACGCCCATAATTTTCGTATCTACCCGATACCTACCCTACCCGATATCAGTTGGGAGCTCTACCCTCGAAATTGTTGACGAATATGTCTGGAAGTATATCTGGGACAAGTGATCCAGCTAGGTACGTTCAATTTCGAGAAGGAGGTAAATTGTCCAACTTGTATGAGCAGCGTTCGGAAAACTACGCAACATCTTCTCGTCCAACATACCTCAGTGGCTCACTGAGTTCAGTTTGGAGAAAGTGTTTAATTTTTCAATAATACAACAGGTACTAACATGATTTGAACACAATAAGTGTCATTGGAAACAACTTAAAATCGGTATTTGCTATAATCTAAAATCAGTATTACAAAGCTTACCAACAAATTCAAAACAGACCCTCGAAAAACCAGTTAACCAGAACCGCACACTATAACCAACCGCCATTAATAATACCCACCCACCATAAACATGCATGTATTAACTCCTAACAAACTAACAGGAGAAGCAACTGGACGAGCAGAGTCAGGAGCGAGAGGAACTCGAAGGAGTCGTCAGTCGGTTCAAGGAGCGGCTCGAGCGGGAGACGGCCGCCCACATGGAGTGCAGCGAGCGCGCGCGCGCCGCCGCCGCCCGCAGCCATCTACTGGAGCAACAGGTAGGCAGGGCAGGGCCAGCTCTCTGGGGACGCTAGTGGCTTCGACAGGAAGATGGTAGGTGAGGCTTGTCGAAGCTGGTATATCCTGGAGCAAGATAAATTACACGATTTCAGACAATTACGCATTATTCTAAAATTGGGCATGTGAATTGCAAATGTGCATTAACTTCTTTTCATTAAAATAACGCAACGTTTTGTATCTACAGTTGAACCAGGAGAGAGCAGAACGCACCAGGTTTGAGAAACTAGTCAGTGAAGGAAGCATACCTGATGATGCTAAGGTACGTGGAGTGTTTTTATATTTATTTGACGATAGTTCGTTGGTCACGATATTACAATTGAATGGTGATCTTGAGGCAAAAGTTGTTATTATATATTTTTGTATTATCAACTTTACTTGATTAAAAACATTATTTTTATATCATAATACCTCATTCCAGGTGAGCAACCTAAAGAGCGCAGTCATCGAAACATGTTCCATACCACCCCCTCCTCCTCCCCCTGCACTATGCCCTCCCCCACTCCCACCAGCACCCCCAGCGCCTGCGCCCCCACCAGCCCCCATGGCACCGATGGCGCCCGCCATAGCACCACCCCGCGCCAAGAAGAACGTGCCAACTCCTGGCAATCCTCTGAAGAGCTTCAACTGGAGCAAATTGCCTGATACCAAGCTGCATGGTACCATCTGGCAGGAGCTTGATGATACTAAGCTCTACAACGCTATGGACTTGCATACCATTGATAAAATGTTCTGCGCGTACCAGAAGAATGGTGTTCAGGTGAGTTGTGAGATATTCAATTGATTTTTTAATAATGTGGTCATACGGTAAACGTGTATTGCATCGTATGTGTCTAAATGGGATATGCAAAGAAATCCTTGCGTTGATTGTTGGATTGCACCATATTTAATTCAATAATATCAATTAAATCCTACAGAACTGACCGAATTATTTGCTGTTACATCATATGTTCACGAATGCATTGTTACCACCCACAGAATGAAGGCTCAGTAGAAGACCTGCGACAGTTGGGATCGAAGCCGCGCACTAAGATACTGAGCGTGATCGACGGTCGCCGCGCACAGAACTGTACCATTCTACTGTCCAAACTGAAGATGACTGATGAGGAGATTTGCCGGTGAGTGCATGGGCGTCTAGTTTTAGAAGACCACCTTAACTATAGAATCAGGTTGCGCAACCCACTAAATATAAATGTAAGCACTATCAAATCACATCTGGTGTCAATTTGGTTGCGCAACCAAGTACTTGTTGCGCTTGAATCACGCAATGCCCAACCACTTCGTATAAAATATGACACTACATTTACTCTGCGATTAGAGATGAGTGTTTATATCTTGTTACAATATGTATATAGGCTAAAGATTTATGAACTGAAAGATAATTTTTCCAAGAGTGCCTGAACAGTTCCGTGTTTATATTGTTTGGGATCGAGTTAAAATAAAAATGTTTACCTTGAATATTGTGTCGTTCCAGTGCGATCCTCCGCATGGACAGCGGCGAGCAGTTACCGATAGACATGGTGGAGCAGTTAGTGAAGTTCACGCCGAGTCCCGAGGAGGCCGCGCTACTGGAGGAACATCAGGACGAGCTTGAGAACATGGCACGAGCTGACCGGTTTCTTTACGAAATCTCCAAGTGAGTATACTATGATACGCGGGTAAAATCGTGCAACTTATGACTTGCGATTGCGAGGAGGATACTTCTCTGTATATGCTATGTATGTGAGTCATGATGAGAAGGTAAAACTTACACAATGACATTATCATTATCAACCAAAAGAACACGGATAGCCCCTTCTCACACGGAAAGGTTTGAGCATTAATCACAACACTTGCTCAATACGGATTGGCGATTTGAAACTTATGATTACAAATGACAAGGCCAGGTTTCCTCACGCCGTGTGTCTCAGTGACCTTGTAAAGTCCCCCACGTGATGTCCGCAGGATCCCGCACTACTCGCAGCGCGTGCGCCTGCTCCTGTTCAAGAAGAAGTTCAGCGCGGCGGCGGGCGAGGCCACGGCGCGCGCCGCCGTGGTGCTGCGCGCCGCGCGCGACATGACGCGCTCGCGCCGTCTGCGCGCGCTGCTCGAGCTCGTGCTCGCGCTCGGGAACTACATGAACAGGTACACTCACCTGTATTTTCATTCTAAATCCTATATTTCTATCTCGTAATAGCCAAATTTACTTCACGGTTGGCGTGTTACTTGTAGCGCGTTCGATTCCCGCACGCAGCAACTCTTTGTGTGTGTAATCTAAAAATTGTTTAATATGCTTCATGCACAAAATGTACAAATAGGTGGACTTAAGGCAGGCATTTTCTACTAGTCTAACCTTTGGGTAATGCAGAACAGAGTAAATAGTAGATGCAAGAGGCAAGCAATGATTTTATTTAACAAGTGAAAGATAAACAAACCCAGATTTTTGACGTCAATACCAAACGGGATTACTGCACCAACAAAGAGCACGGCTGGTAAAGATGCTCGGTCAATCCCACCAAGCGTACGGGAGCTACCTATGATTAACTGAGATTAACTGATATACCGAATCTCTCGGACCAGTTCTTGATGGACCGTCACCGTTAATTTCCGAGATCGCATCAGAGAGCCAGTCAACACCGGCCTGACAGTACAGTTGCAAATCGTCAGGGTATAGGTCGCGCCAACCTGATGAAATATTATCAAGCTTGACCGACTGCTGGTGCTCCTGAAGATAAGATGAAAACCAATTTGTCAGATATCGTAAGATGGGAAAGAATGGCTGAAAGGATATCGTGGCTGACCATATTGAAGGCATTCGAGAAGTCAACTAAAACCAAAACTGTGGCTCTAGTGCTCTCGAGGCCAGTTCTAATATCGCCAGTCACCTTACAGAGAGCGGAAGCCGTGCTGTGATCCGGTCTGAAACCAGATTGAATTGGTAAATAAAGTCAACCAGTTGTTTGTGGACACAGGCCTCAAGTACTTTGGAAAGGAAAGGAAGTATGGAGATGGGGCGGAAATGAGTGGTTTTAGGTGTCATCATCATGTCAAATTCATGTTTTAGGTGTCATTAAAAAAAAACTCCTAAAAAAAGGTGTCATGTTAATTTTTATGTTTGTAAACGCACTCTCGACACGAGAGAAAATTGTAGCGCGGGGCACTGTTTTCATAAAAAATAAAGTTATTGAGCTACATTTAGAGAAAATGTAGAAGAAAAAATGCAACCGCAAATTGACAGAATAGCAATATAAATAACTTGTCGTATATCCAACAGGGGTGCGCGAGGCAATGCATCAGGGTTCCGTCTGTCATCCCTGAACAAGCTGGCGGACACCAAGTCCTCAGTGTCACGGAACACCACACTACTGCATTACCTTGTTGAACTACTTGAAACAAAGGTAGGTAAAAACATGTAACATAACATAACATCACGCCTTTTATCCCGAAGGGGTAGGCAGAGGTGCACATTATGCCACTGTACAATGTAACACCCACTTTTCACTAATTTATAAGTCCCATGTAATAGGGGGTGAGCCTATTGCCATATACCGGGCACAATTCCAGACTTCGTGCTACTACTGAGAATGTAAAAACAAAAAGAAATAAATAAGAAAATAAATTAATTAAAAAAATTGACTGTACGGTTGGTGCGGTGGCTGTGCAACCGGCTGCCGTGCAACGTGTCGCGGGTTCGATGCCCGCACGGAACAACACTTTGTGTGATCCACAAATTGTTGTTTCGGGTCTGGGTGTCATTGTGTATGTGAACTTGTATGTTTATAAACGTACCCACGACACAGGAGAAAATCCTAGTGTGGGGCAACGTATTTAACTCGTCGAGTATCGGTTTTGTAGACACAATTATAGAACAATAGGTTGCGGTCACTGGTGACCGTTTGGTGTTTGACAGTTTAAAAAAAAAGAAAAGAAAAAAGAAATAAATTCATATTACACGTAAACTTTTCAAGAATACCTGACTAGTTTTAAGCCACAACGGGGTCCATATCGCATCCTCTAGACGCGAATAGTTTCGAGTCAACATTAGTAACCCCCTAATCCGTGGACGTGCAGTTCAAAGACATCCTGCTGCTGGAGGAGGACGTGCCGCACGTGCGCGCGGCCGCCAAGGTGTGCGTGGAGCAGCTGGAGAAGGACGTGGCGGCGCTGCGCGGCGGCCTGCGCGACGTCGCGCGCGAGCTCGACCACACCGCCGCGCGCCCCGCGCCGCACCCGCTCGACACGTTCCTGCCCGTCATGAGGGACTTCCACGCACACGCCGTCTGCTCCTTCACGCAGCTCGAGGACCTGTTCCAGGTACGTGCCTGTCTATACTGGAATCATTTGTACAGGATTTTTTACTTCATTGGGAGCGGTTCGAGATATGAGACGGATTACCTAATAGTAAGCAATCAACACCGTTCACCCACATCACCAGAGGAGTTCCTAGTATGTTGCTGGCCTTTTGGTGTTAAGGGATTTATAGACTTTTTTGTAAGAGGGGAAAATCATCGAATGACTTCTCCCGCCTGGGTGAGGCGAGAGGGAGTGTCAGACTTTTACTGACTAAAAACCACCCCGTTCCTACTCCTGCACTTTGAGCCGGAGCCCCAGTGACCCGTTAGTAGAGGATTCGATCCCGGGATCCCGGGCTTCGGGATCCCGGGATCGATCAAATTTCGGTCCCGTAATTTTCAGGATTATTTTTTAAGTATCCCGGGATTTTCGGGATTGGAATTTATGCTCTTACCAATGCATTTTGAGATTCATTTTTTTGATGTAGAATAAAAATATGCATGAAACGAAGCGAAACGCACGTTAGAAGTTTTAACGGCCATCTTGTTTACACATCTGATTTCATTTGTAATTGCTAACGGATCTTTTTGAGATCATTAAACAAGAAATGAATCTCTATGAAGCTAGTTCCACACAAGGTTATAATTTGGAGAAGACTTTTAAGAAGCAAGCTTTCTGATGAGTCGTTGGATGCTTTACTATTTCTTCGATATTATTTTCGAAGTTGAAAGAAATAATTTATAAATTACCTTGTATTACTGATCTCTTTAGAATTAAGTCATTTTTAATTTTTATCTAAACAAGTGTCTAGAAGTTGATTTTTTAAAGATTTTATGTGAATCAAAATAAACAAACTATTACACTAAGTAAAGAAGTTCCTTGTTTGTTTGTTTATTATTTTATTAGAAGAAAATATTATTTTTGTTTCGTTTTTTGTAGATTGAACTGATGATTAATAGTTGATTTTGATATATACATTACTGTCTTTCTGTTACTTCTTTCTATCCCGGGACTGTCCCGGGATCCCGGGACTGGAAAAATGGGCCGGGATTGAATCCTCTACCCGTTAGGTTCTCCGCGACAGGGATTTATAGATTGAAGTAGGAATACGATAGGTTGAGTTTTCGATAGTCTCACTCACACAGTGAAACATAACGCAAGCGTTGTTTCACGCCGGTTTTTTTTAAAGCCGTGATATCACTCTGGTCGAGTCGACCTATTCGGTTCATACTTTAACAGGTTAATAAAAATGGGCAATTTTATCCAAATATGCATAAAATAGTAAAATTTTACATGCCTTTTCAGGATATGAAGAGTCGTCTCGAAGCGTGCGCGCACGCGTTCGGCGAGGAGCCGTCCGCGTCGCCCGAGCAACTGTTCGGCGCGCTCGACGTGTTCCTCACGCAGCTGAACGACGCGCGCGCTGACTGCGACGCCGCGCGCCGCCGCAGGGACGACGAGGAGCGACGCACTAGACATGAACAGGAGGTCTGAGACGTTCATATTAATTATAAATCTCTTTACAATTTCTTTCTAATGCATTCATCTGTCTTTGATTCAAAAAATTTTTGATCTTATAAAAAAAATCAAAGTACTTACAAAATTCAATATTTTCCTCAGCTCAAGAAACGCACGATGGAACGGAAGCAGGCTTCCAGTCTGCTGAGCTCAGTCGGCAAATCTCTCGGCAAGTCCAACGGAAACTCGGACTGCAACGGACACTCCGACAGTTCCCGAGATGGAACACTCACCAACGGTCAGAAGGGAGAGTTCGATGACCTCATCTCCGCGCTGAGGACGGGAGATGTCTTCGGAGACGATGTCGCCAAGTTCAAGCGATCCCGCAAGGCTTCCAAAGTCAGCCACAAAGGCAGGGACTCCCCCCCACGGGGCGTCTGCAGGGAGGACTCTAGAGAACGACAGAAGAATTGAACGAGAAACTAAACTAGTAAAGGTTATTGAATGTTTGTAGCGTCCAGCGCTCCTTCGTAGTTCAATGTCGATACGATAGATGTGCTTTATTTATTAGGAAAATCTAAAGCATTGTCGTGGGTAAAATCAATGTTCAACTGTGTGCGGCCACGCTCCACTCATGGTTCGATATAATTTTGGCTTTAAACGTTTACCTAGTTTCCGTCAAATTGGCATTCTAGAAATACCTGTATCTGGGCGCTGGACTGTCGGAAGCAAACGATTAGTTTAATCGAAACGTGATATTTATCGAGTAGGGGATCCTATTGGACCGTTTTAAGTACGGAGTCACAAATATGAGATTACAAACGACGTATGACGGTGTGACGTGTCATAGAACCCAATAGTTTTATGCGACAACGAAGCGACAGCTGCCATTTTGTTTTTTGGATATGTTTTGGAAATTTCTCACAAACATGGTGCCTAATTTTGGACGTTTTTGAGGTCGTGGCCTGACGGAGTTGCCCCAACTGTAATCTCAGTAACATTGACGATACGGAAGTTGACTTTCTGTAATTTTTATCTCAAAACTATACCAGTGGAAGGTCTTGCAGTTAACACGAGTCCCCTCTGAGGGCCGCGACCTCGCCGAGAATTTTCGAGAAGCTTTTTGCTGGTTATCGACTGAAGTAGTCAAAGACTGTGCATGTTATTCCATAGACGTTTTTATTTTAGTCTTTACGTAACTATAAGCGTTGTGTGATTTGAGTAACCATAGAGTTAGTATGTATTGAGTTTATATTCGAGTTCTCTTGGTTGTAAGAGAAAGTGTCGTTGTGTTTATCAGTCAGGGACCGCGTCTTTTGCGAAAAAAGTCATTGTAAAGCTCACGAAAATAATTCCGATAAATATGACGACAGTTTACAGTATGAATGTCGATAATTTTTTACATATCTCAATGTACCTATAGACAAATTGGACACAATAGAATGTTTTAGTGTCAATACGATGGGAATTGACGAATACACTATGTTATCAAACTGTTACTAAAGTTTACTAGGTGTAGGAATTGATACATACCTAGCTGTAAACAACATTTTGGAATTTTGTATCAACTAAAGCGTGGTAGAAAATTTTTGATAAATTTTACATTATAAAAATTTTATATAATTACTTACGTAACGATCATCGTCATTTTTAATTTATTCCCAAATGATTTATTGAATGTAAAGTTCTATTTTCATTGTAAATATTATTTTTAATTTTTTTGCCAAAATTTGTTACCGTCACTAATAAAACGGAATCAATAATTTATTGAAAATTTCTTAATGTATGTAATAAAGTTTTCACTTGTAAATTTTATTGTTTTGTTCAGTATTGCTTAAGCTCATAGTATATTAATATAATGATTATATATTAGACACTATTTAAATTAAACCCTTGAACATTATTATTGTGATTTCATTTATACTCCCTTTTCCTCACTTAGGTGAAACAAGTGAAACAAGTGAATTTATTTCTGCAAATAGGCTACAAGGCAGCACTTTTACTCACGTCAATTTTATCAAGCGAACGATGAGGTCGACATTTCCTAACTACTCTGAGAAGAAATGCCGAAACAAACTCAGAGGTCTGTCTCTTTTAAAGTCCAGACAATATGTATAATAGATTATGTGTGAGAACCGTGCAAGTTCTTTCTGTAGTGGCCTTTTGAGGAAAGAACCTCAACAGTTTGAGGACATATCATACCCTAACTGCTCGCTAAAAACCAAACCATTCCATAAATAACAAAACTATTCCATGAATAACAAACGTCTATAACTATTCAATGATTATAGAGACGTTTATTTGTTTGAATAAGCTATCGAGCTCTACCTGATTGTACAAAATATTCCACTAAAAGCTGTCTTCTAAAAAGATTCTAAAAAAAACTTTAACAAAAGAATAATATTCTATCAGTCACAATAATATGAATAAGTCTACTTCGGTATTTAGAAGTGCTTTTTGTGAATTCAGTGGGCCGATCCCGGCGGCACAGTAATGCCGGGCCGACCCGTGGCGATAGTGAAGCAAGCTTCACATTCTGCCAACTTTACCAAAAATACTTCATAACTTATCCCTCTGTGAGGGACTTTTAGTTATTAGGTACATTGAGAAGAACAAATACTTTACTTTGATCTTAGCCACAGAGCCGAGAAGCGATATACATACACTGGCGCCAGGGTAGTTATTCAGACGGAGAGAATCTTAACATTGCGATTAATAAAACCCACCAAATGGGACAACGTCACCTATGGGTCTAGATTAGAATCATTGAGGTAAGGAGGGTCGTAGTGTAGAACGCATTTCATTTATCCCTATAACCAGAAAGACTTAAAAACTCCCAACGTAGGGCGCCATCTGTATTAATTCGAGTAGGTAATTTCACAAAATTGATGTCCTTATATCAAAGTACCTTAAATTATAGCTAAGATCAAAGTTTTTTTTTTAAGGGGGGAAATGATCGAATGACTGATTCCGCCTGGGTGAGGCGGGAGGGAGTGTCAGACTCTTACTGACTAAAAACCACCCCGTTCCTTCTCCTACACGTCGAACCGGAGCCCCGGTAACCCATTAGGTTCTCCGCGACTCCGAATCGGCATCGGCCCTGTTGGGCCCCATCTGTGGTGGTCTGATGGCTCTTTGAGGCGCGCGCGGAACGCGACGCGCCGTATGCTCGGGTCTGTTTCTGGCGGACGGGGAGCCACCCATGCTCGCCGTCCGCAGGCCCGCGTAAGATCAAAGTATAGTATGTTCTTTTTAGTGTAGGTTTTAACTGAAAGTCCGTCACAGAGAGACAAGTTATGAAGTAATTTTTGTAAAGAAGCTTGCGTCATTCCCGCCACGAGTCGGCCAGGCATCGCAGTGCCGCCGGGATCTGCCCACAGAATTCATTCAAAACTATAATCTTATACACATGGTGCTGGAGAGACAATCCATCTTACCCATCTATTAGGTAGTACCTATCTTAATGTATGTGACTATGTAGTGTCACTTTTACATTGTAACGTTTTCTCATCCTCACTACTCAATCATTCAGCCAAAACCAATGCAAAATTTAGTTTCAAGTAATTTTTCCTTTATCCCATGATTCACAAACATAAACACCGCTTGAATAATGCCGCAGCCAGTGTGGGAGAGCCATGCTTCGGCACGATGGGGTCGGCTCGACCGGAGTGATACCACGGCCTCATAGAAAACCGACGTGAAGAAACGATTGCGTTGTGTTTCGTCGTGTGAGTGAGGTTACCGGAGGCCCAATTACCCTCCTCTTTCCCAATCTCCCCAATCCCTGAATCCCCAACGATCCTCAAACTCCTAATCACCAAAAGGCCGGTAAAGCACTTGCAACGCCTCTGGTGTTCCAGGTGTCCATGGGCGACGCCAATTGCTTACCATCAGGTGATCCGCCTGCTCGTTTACCGACTTATGCCATAAAAAGCCAGGACGTAACATGCATGAAAAGACTTATGACTCTTGAGGAAGTTAAAGAGGTATGTAAGAATTGTAGCAATTGGCGTTTCATAGTCACCATATATGACAGGACGTAGATTCCCGATACGGCTCGGATAATTCTCATTATCCGAATAGGTTAATAATGCAAAGGAAATGGTGAAATTAATCATAGAAGCTCCATTGGATCTTTATTTTATCTCTGATCGGAAAACATTTTTCATAGCATGGCATTACATATTATATGTAGCTATCTGTATTTATACCTAGTAATTATTATTTTCTACTACTACTACTTCAAAAGGGCGAAGTTATGTGTATGAGTCCTTTATTTAAAAGGAGGTTAGCCTACTCCCATTTTTGGGCACGGTTTCAAACTCGGACTTTTCGAATCACACCCAACATCCTTATTCGATGTTTGCCTTAGCGAGGCAGTTTGTCTCGCTGGGCGAGTACACCCAACGGACGAGGCTAACGACAAACAAAAACTGCAATGTTTTATTATATGAAAAACTCGTAAATAAGTTACCTTGGAACAATTGGGATGATGACAGTTATGTAATGAAAAAATATTGACACGTTTTTTTTTTATTTTGTCCTCTAATAAAACAATAATCAAAGTTCAGGAGTAAGGGCTAAAATGTCATTTCTACGTATAAAATGTATGTACATAGGAGTGAAATCACGCGACATTTCAAATCAATATATCGTCGGAAGTATTCGTTTCTGTAAGAAAACAAAAAATACGAGTCTAATGATTTAAAATAATCTACCAGACGGGCATTAAAATAAAAAGTAGACATCTATTGGGAAGAAATATCGAACATAAAGTTGTTACAATTTCCGTGATGTCAGCATTCGGTTGTTATCCTGTTTGTGTTTGACTGACGGTACCTACGAGGTTAAGATGAGCTGTGTTAGCGAAAATTCTTGCTTACAAGTGTAATGTATATGTACCTAATATATATCTCTGGGGTAGACAGAAATGTACGTAGGTAAGTAAGCCCGCATTTCACCGTAAATTTTGGGTTATTATGTTGTTATGTGTAATAGGGGAATGAGTTAATTAGTCCTATACATACACACGCAAGTAGTTTAGTTTAGGCGAGAGTTGTAAATATAATTTTAGTAATCTTTGTGTTTAAATGAATGAATAGAAACTCGATGTTGATTTAGCGTATTTTAAGAGCGATTGAAGATCAAGCGTGGGTAATTAAAGTTGAAAGAAAAAGATGCCTTTTTCTGTTCTGTTTTTTGTTATGCAATAATTAATATCAACATTCTGCTATATTACTAATTATTTAAAGAGTTAGAGATCGTCATCATCGTACCTCAAGACAATCGGCGAAGCGTCACCGATTCATGGTAGATGTCCCACCCACACGTACGAAGCGCTTCGCATCAAGCTTCTTTGTGCGTACTGCTAAGGAGTGGATTTTTTTGCCAGAGTCTGTATTTCCTGAAGGGTATAATAACCTGGGTGTCTTCAAGGCCCGAGTGAATATGTTGCTTATGGGTCGACGTGCTCCATCGTAGGCCGCATCATCGGTTACCACCAGGCGAGATAGTGGTCAAACGTCAGTCCCATCTAATATGTATATATATAAAAAAAGATGCCTATTCATTCAGTATAGGAGTGTCCTTTTAAATTATTTTTTCAAAATATGTTGTTGTTGCCCGGAGGCTTAATCCATCGTGTGTCTAAACGTGGATCCACGCGAGACACAGTGTATTTTCTATTGTGTCTCATATCACTGCATTTAAGCGGTTAAGACGTTCGCTTCTCATGCACGAGGGTGCGAGTTCGAAACCTACCAACGGCAAGTACTAATGTGAATTTTGTTCGAGTTATATGTACCTACTTTCTACAATTATTTAGACGAAGAACGTCGAACCACTAACAAACGGTGAAGGCAAACATCGTGAGGAAATCTGGGCTTATAATTTCTAATTATAAGTTAGAAATCGCTAACCCGCATTGAGCAAGCGTGGTGGTTAATGCTCAAACCTCTTCCATGTGAGAAGAGGCCTTTGGTATGCAGTGGCTACTTATGGACTGTTGATGAGTGATGTGAAAATTGGGTAGGTTCAAGCCGGTCGACTACTGCTTATGCGATTTGGCTTGCACAGTAATGTCTGACAAAATAACAATGACGTCGGCGGTATTTCCGAACCGATACGACCTTCAAACCTTCAAGAAAAGAGCGTCCTCCTTTTTAAAAGGCCGGCAACGCACCTGTGACTTTTCTGGTGTTGCGGGTGTCCATGGGCGGCGCTGATCGCTTACCATCAGGTGATCCGTCTGCTCGCCTCTTATTCCATAAAAAAAAAAGAAACAAACAGACATAAAGTACCCACAAACAATTACTTTCAACCGCTCCGAGTAATCCTACACTTGATTTTGCCCTTTTATTTAATTATGTAACATTATCGTAGCACTGGCTTTCATTTGGACAATTTAAAATTATTCTTGTGTTACCTTTCCGCTTATAACGAATAAATGTTTTTTGAAATACCTAAGAATTTTTATTGTATTCCCAAAAAAGGTAAAGGATTTTCAGCTTTAAAGATTGAGATTAATATGCATTTTTATAAAGGGTTGCATGAATGAATAGTCGTATTATTTGGTGATGTAGGTAGATAGGTTCTCAGAGAATGCAAATTCATTTCTCTACACTCTTGATGTTGTTATGAGGCTATGTATTATTTTTGATACGATTTTATTATCAACTAGCTATTTCCGTGCGGTTTCACACGTTCTGCTCAGCTCCTATTGGTCGTAGCGTGATGTTTTAGCCTATCTATAGCCATTCTCGATA